ACGAAGGTGAAGCTGCCTCTCACTGAGGTCCCAGGAACCAGGGACCACGTGGCCGCCTCGCCCATGCAGCCACTTCCAGAATTTTCAGTGATGGCAAACGCGGTGGGCGCTGTGATTGCCCGAGTAGCTGCCCCTCCCCTCTGACCTCCTAGTCAGCAGGACCCACCCCCTGGCTGAGGACAGTGGCCCTAGGACGTGACCACTGCCAGGTGTCCAGGCAGCTGAGCCAGTTCTGGGCAGTGGGGGCTGAGAAGTCTGAGCGGGTGGGATGGTCACTGGGGAAGGGGTGTCCGCCCTTGGAGAGGAAGGGAGGGAGGGACGGAGGGAAAGAGAGGGAATGAGAAAGATGCACAAAATGCTATGTCTTCACGGTGTCTTCCTGCATCTTGGTGGGAGGTTGGGGAGATGGGGGGTGGCCGGGCAGAAAGCAGTTTGTTCACGATTAAGTCAAGTCCCAGGATCAACACGGAACCCTGTCCACTTTGGACTTCCTGTTATATGAGATAATAAATGTCTCTTACTTTATGCTGCGTTCAGTTGGGATCTGACAGCCAGCTGAAGGTGCTTCAGTAGAGAATTCTCTACAATTCAAGGGCAACGTGGGCAGTTCATTTCTGGAAGTTCTTCAGCGAGCCTGCACCGGCCACTCTGAGTTCTCACATCTGGCCCTCAGTGGAGACCCCCTCCCCCTTTGATTCTTTTTCAATTAGATTTCTTATAATTTTTAACGGAGGTGCTGGGGATTGAACCCCGGACCTCAGGCATGCTAAGCACATGCTCCACCACTGAGCTCTAACCTCCCTCCCTCCCCCAGCTGATTCCTTCCATCACCTTCAGGAGGCCAGCGCCTTCCTAAGACGCAGTCTATTCTCCTAACTGCATTCCAGGTCTGGTTCACCTCCCGTGGGTGTCACTGGGGTGAGGACAATGCTGGTTCCTGCAGCCCCGTCCCCGCATCCAGGGCCAGGGCCCACACATGCTCGGGCAGGACCCACCGAGCAGGTACTTCTCATTACAGATGCAAAGGCTTTTGGAAACATGATGTTTATCTTCTGCAGGAACACATATTACAAACAAATCAAATACATATATATTGTATTATTAGTAAATTGCTCAGGAGTATGTAAGAATATCTAGAAGGATTTTCCTTTTCTCTCTTAGGTAAGTCCAAGGACAGGAAAGAGCATGAGAACATTCTCTTTTTCTTGCTGAATATTTTAAAAAATGTGAAATATACTGCAGAGTCAAATGGCCGAGTTGGGTTATTTTATTCTACATATTTTTTGCAAATCTGATCCTCTCTGCTCATTGAGATCTGCTCCCCCCACCCCGAATCGGCTCAGGCTCCTTCCTGAGCATCTGAGACCCCCACCCCTGCCCAGACCCACCCAATCCTGACCCCAAACGCCCCGTCTCGCCCTGCTGGGCACTCTGTTCATCCTTTTCTGGAATTTAACACGTTTCCTCCCCTCCTAGGTCTTCAGGGTATCAGGGCAACATCGAGAGTTTCTCAGGAAGTATTTACTGAATGGATAAACTTTTCCCCGTTGCCAAAGCAGGAATCACACACACCCAGGATTTCTAAAGGGCTCTGATGGGTACTGCACAATTATGCTAAGAGCCCTTCTTCTTTCTCAGATGGCAGGAGAACAAATTTTGCTTGTCTCAAATGATGGAGAAAGGGGCTGCATAAGCAGGGCCTCCAGAAGTTTTAAACACTCATTGGGGTCCTCTTTTCAACTTCCCCAGTCTCAGTCCAAATCGCTAAAGAATTGGTCAGTGTTGTGTTTCCCTGACACCTCCGTGGAGTTGTTCAAAGACAGGTATTTTTAAAGGTCAAGGATGAGGGGGAAGAACTCAGCCTGCCTTGGATGGAACTGGAGAGCCCAGATAACAGGTCAATAGTGTGTCAATTTTAAATCAAGCTGTGAAAATATGTGCCCCTCAGCTTCCTTCCCTTTCCCCCTCCCTTGGTTTGGAGTGTAGGTCCTGGGTCGGAGTGCCCGGGGCTGAGCAGGTGAGCATTTAGGAGTGGCATGACCTTGAGCAGGTTAGCCTGTGCCCTTGAGCAGGCTAAGGGCTTCAAGCACCAGCTTCCCCAGCCATCTGCAACAAGCAGCCCATGATGCTGTCTCCCAGGTTACGGTGAGAAGACGACGAGGATGTGTTTAAGGGCTTGGTGGGTCACAAATGCTCCACAAATGATAAGGGTTCTTATTACAAATGAGAATCAACATCCAAAGAGCAGAGCAGTAAAAGGTGAGTGCATTTGGGAAGCATGATAAGAAATGGTAACTGAGCAGCTCCCCCCTCCCCCGCCCGACGGACCATCATCGCCCTCCTCAAACACCAGCCACATCCATCCCATAAAGACCAACAGGGGCCGCAGCCGCCAAGCAGCGAGTTATCTATAAAGTATCTTCTCTTTATTTAAGTTAAACAATTTTCAAGGATGGTTTCCATCTATAAAATGGACAAAGTACAAGCTCTGTACAGCAGTTCTTTTTAAAAATCAACTGGAAAAAAAAATTACCAAACTATATTTTGAATTTGCAAAACATACTCACAGATACCATCATTTGAGCTTTTATGAAGACATAGGAGAAACCAGCACAGAGAAGACAACTAACTTGGCCACGCTTTGCTCGAGGGGCTCTTAGGGGAGCATTTTTACTTGTAAAAACAGGAGTGGGAGGGCGGGAGAGTCCTGATGACTAAAAAGTAATGCAACCACAGTAAGTCACTTTGGCACACTGTGTCATGTAAACATAGCTCACCCGAGGGAGCCCTCCCAGCCCACCTCCGCTCACACCATCCGAGGCTGCCGCCCCCACCAGCTCAGGGATGGGGCGCTTCCCCCCTCCACCGACCAGGGCCGGGTGGACCCATCGTGATGGTACAATGTCTGGTAAGACTTCTGGGTGGGGTGGAGGTGTGTGGGCAAGAGATTTGTCAAGAACCTGATGAAAATTTGCTTTACTTTAAAATCAAATCTGTTTTCCATCAGTGGGACTGTTTTCCCCTAACGGTAAGTAGTAGCTCATAGGTGACAGGGCCACCTTCAAGGAGGCGCCTGTACGTGGCGGGGGTGGGCGGAGAAGGAAGCGGGGGCAGTGACCACGAGAGTGACCAGGGAGCCACTCTGAGGACGCTGCGGCCAGTCTTCTGTTGCATGTGGGGACACCTCGGAGGCAAGAGGGGCTCTGCAGGAACATTCCTGGGTGCAAAGGCGTAAGCCTGGGCACCTCCTCCTGTTATGACTTAATTCCCATGGACCTCTCTGCCTCCTTGGCCGCGGGCTCCTGTTTCGGGCCCTTGATCCTCAGTCGTGGAGCACTGTTTGGTCTCCACTTTTCCTAATTCTTGACCCAAAGCCCCAGGAGGCAGGCAGATTCCATGAACCGGATGACCTTGACAATGGTGCCAGCACACCAGGGTCCTTAACCATTAGCCCAGTGCTGACTGTGACAGCCTCCCACCAACACTGGGAGCTGGGGGACTGGTTTTTAAATTCATTTAACCCCTGGAGAAAAGAAATTACATCTAAAAGGACCCAAAGCAACATTTGTCAAAATAAGTAACCCATCCAGCTTTACAGATACCGGGGGCATGAAAAAGTGGATGCCGGCACAGAGCACAACTCTGAGCTGAAGCCAAACACAGATGCCGAGATCTGAGCCTCGGGGCAGCACTAGGCTCCTGGGGAGGGGGGCACAGCAGCACCTCCTCACCGCTAAGGCTGGGGGCGGGCAAAGGAGGCCGCTTTCTCCCTCTGGGAGAGCCCGGTCCCCCCTCCTCACGACCGTGATCTGATGGGGCGGAGAATTTACAAGATGAGGATGACCTACAGAAACCACAGGGGGCTGACCCTACGTCCTTTCTTTACATATATATTTATATTTAATGTCCCATCGTAGAAAAGGTCATACCCAAATATAGCAAGTACACCACATGAAGGAGGGGTCTGCGCTGGGGAGACAGGAGGGCAGGGAGAGGGGACCACGACGTAAACCTGCGAACCGGCGTGATCGCTATGGAAACTGTATGTGATTTCAGTGGGACCCGAGTGGAGACTTCGGAGCATTTTCCTCGCGGTGATGCAGCAACTGCGCCCCTGGCCTCCCGTCCTCCACGGTGCACGGTCGCTGT